AGAAGGTTTTGTCATATCAATAAAAAATAGTGTACTGTTTAGAAGGACTGTCCTGTTCAAAACATATAAAGCCATTTTCTAACAGGAATAAAGAACCCAGAAAATATTCCTAAAGTCAGAAAGATTTCCACACGGGGTCTTGTTTAATCTGTGGAGGAGACACATGTGGCATTTTGGTGGTCGCCATCAAGATAAAGAAGCAAGCCCACGTTTTGCAGAAATTAAACAGACGCTACTCAGAGCCAGCTTTTCCCAAACCAACCAAATCCCCTTTAAAACACTCAAATTCAGTGTTCTCTTCAGCACTTGAGGCTCACAACTTTCACAGTGTAGGACAAAAGAATGGAAAGCCTTTTGAACTTCAGCTCAAGGAAAAGCAACTTGATTTGAAGGTCAAGACCGAGAAAGGTTTGGAAATTCCTCTTCCTCGGCGAGGTCTGCATGTGGTGGGTCAGTATGTGATGACTGCAATGAGATGAGGCCTTCTCCAGATGTGACTCTCCGATGTGATGCTTGGAGCCAGCCTTGCCCATCTTTGTGCCCAGAATCCAGGCTGCCCCCAAGGGCGAGGGGCATGGGCCATCAGTGACCAACTGTTTCATGACCCCTGGGTGCACCTTTCCTGTCTATTTTTCAGACTGTGTGTAGGTGGACTCTTTCCAGTGAATGAGTCGCCCAATACAGCCCTTGCATGACTTAGCCAGTCATTCAGCCACCTGAGCAATGAGAGAGGGCATACTCTCTGGCTTTGGTCTGGAGAGGAGCAAACCTCCTAGACTCATAAAACAGAACTAACCCTAAAAGTCTGAAAGAGGATGAAGAAAAGGGGCACAAAACCAACTCGTGGGAATGCTATTTAGAGGTTTCTGAGATTAAATCTGCATGGGAGCAGATAGATTCTTCTTTCTCCCACGAAGTGGCTGGTGGGTTTAGTCCTCCATCCTTGCAGTTAGCTCACAGCACCTTGGAATATATCTTTAAAGCTTTAGAAAGATTCAGACCTTGATTCAGTATATTACCCAATCATGATGATTTTTCTAAGAAAAAAAATACGAAACATTTCATCACAATATTCTTTATAAATGTGAAGTCAACCAAAGGGATGAACGTATTAGAGCACATTACTTTACTTAAAATTATAATATTAATTATTACAGGACTATGATAATTGGAAGGACTATAGAGCAGTGTGTTGTGATGGTATTAAGTGAACAGTCCCACATTTGATCTATGCCTCAGTGGCAACTATGCACAAAGTAGGTAAATACATAGAGTCCCTATGAGTTAGAATTGAGTAACTTGAAGGTATGGGGTTTGGATTTATTTATTTTTATTTTTGCATAAACAGAAGCTATAGAAATGTGAGCATTTGTGCTCTAGTGATGAGATTTTAAGAGGTTGTTCTTTTACTGTCAGATTAACTGTGGACAGTGGCCAGCAATGGAAGGTGGGTGATGGTTAGCACTACAGAACTGGGCAGAGAACCATCAGTCAAAGAAAAGAGTTTGTGTTTTACACCAGAGAACCTGAACTTCATCCAGAAGGCAATCGGGAGCAGAGAATGAGAGGGCCAAATTTGTGTTATATGTGAAGATAACTGTGTAGGGAAGCAATTGAGTCGGAGATGAGAGGACTTACGAATAGATTGGGCTTGGGCAAAGCTACTGGTCACTAGGGGTGGGAATGGCCCACAGAGGGCGCTAGTGGTGCTAGCTGTTCTGAAATATAACCAATATACTTTTAAGATTCTTGAAATATGTTTCAAATGTAAATTTTCTTCTACATCTATTATCCATCCATATGCAGACACTTAAAATGTAGATGTAGACATATGTGAATTCCATCTGTTTCAGAATATTTGGAAAAGCCTAGCTAAAAATGTTGGCAAGTTTTTCTTAATAAAATAATCATATGAGATAATCTTACATATTTCTTTTGAATAGTCATAGAATTTCTTTAAAATCTAGCCATTTTAAAATGATCATATTATAATGGAATTATCTTACCATTGCACCTACTATAATGGACTTTTGTTGAGCATTCACTGCATCTATATAGTTTCTTAGAATTTCCATAAGATGTCCTGGCAGGTTCCAGAAAAAATTTATATTTTGTTTTATCTTGGTGTTTTTTGTTTTGTTTTCATAAATAATTTAATTCAGCAATGCAAGGATTACAAACCCTGAGTTTCAAGAGGTGACTGATCCTTGGCCTTCCATTGTCACACATGCTTTCCTCTCTCGAATCCATCTATTTACTAACTACTTTCTTTTTATCCACACTGTACATTTACCCTTCCTCACCCAGTGGCTTCCTCATAAATAGTATCACATCCGTTTCCTAATCAATAAAATGAAAATTGGGGGGGGGGGGAATTAGTTATACATGAATGTATTTTGCAATGTATAGAAAGATTTACCACACTAGTTGTTGTTCTTGCCGATTTTAAAATTCAGTGACTACAGCAGTATTTCATCTGAAAAGGAAAGCCGCAGGCTGGTGTGCTTCCTTCTGTTCTGTCATCAACAAATCAGCTCATCTCTTTGTGTGAAAGATGTAGGTCTTTTTAACTAGTTAGAATGTTTATGGTTAAAAAAATAGGTTGTATGTATTTAATGTGGCAAGAAGCAAAATGCAAGTCACTCGTTGGATGATTGGAGAAGGGCAACATGGGACCAAGTAAATAAAAGGAGTGCTTAACTCTGCAAGGAAACATAATTAACCTGTTTGTTTGCATAACCGTCTCCTTGGCAGAATAAATCTCTGTGTACCTAGGAGAGGAGTTTCCTACTGAGAATGACCTCCAGACACTGTGGGGAGAAAAACCATGGCTTCCTTACTGACTGTAACACCAGAAAGGGGGTCTTAGCAGCTACACAAGTAAGGGAGCAGCTTAGTAGAGTAGCTCACCCCTTGTTCTCACCCAGGTGAATCTGGGCTCTTCTCAGTACAGAAGTAGAATGATTGATCTGAACCTACTCTTGGTGGTAGTTTCTGTCAGGTTGATGCCAACTCACAGAGACCCACATGTTTCCAGAGCACACCTCCTCCTCCTCCTCCTCCTCCTCCTCCTCCTCGGTGGTCCTTTCAAGGCCGTGACCTCTCAGAAGCAGACTTCAAGGTCTTTCTTCCTAAGTGCCTCTAGATAGGTTTGAACCAGCCACCTTTGGGTTAGAGTCTAATGCTTAGCCATCTGCCTCATTCAGGGCCTCATTCTTGCCCCTAACCCCGCCTTTTGCTTGTCCTCTCAGTCTGCATCCTGTTCTCATACCCTAACAGGTTCTTCTGAATGGAATTGAATCATCATCAAGCCCCTTTGTGTTTCTAGACTGTCTGTTGTTCTTTTCATAGCTCGGGTTCTCCAGCTCCCCTGTCTGATTAACTCAGCACGAAACATTTCCTCCGTGTATGCTGTTAGCATTTTTTGAGGAGTATCCATTTGAAGTACCTTAATCCTTTAGAGAAGTGGTTCTCAACCTTCCTAATGCCGCGACCCTTTCATACAGTTCCTCATGTTGCGGTGACCCCCCAACAGTAAAATTATTTTTGTTGCTACTTCATAACTGTAATTTTGCTAGTGTTATGAATCATCATGTAAATATATGATATGTGGGATGTATTTTCGTTGTTATAAATTGAACATAATTAAAGCACAGTGATTAATCACAAAAACAATATGTCATTATATATTGTGAAATATTTATTTCTAACTACAAATAAGTGAAATTTTGTCGTGTAGCATGGGTAACAGGCTTCACGCCGGGTACTCGTATGTGGGCGTATCTACATGTGGATGGATCCGCCTGGAGACAGATAGAGGAGCGGTGTCTCAGTTCCTAAGACCATTGCTTAGGCGACCTTTGTGAAACGGTCCTTCGACCCCCAAAGGGGTCGCAACCCACAAGTTGAGAACTGCTGCTCTATAGGGTCACTAGGAGTCAGAATTGGTGAGATGGCAGTTGGTGTGGTTTTCTAAAATTCATCTTCAAGTTATCCCATAACCTAAAATTAACCATTTTTGAAATATAAGATTCAGTGACATGTAGTGTTTCACAATGATGTGCAGCTTTCACCTTTATCTAGATCAGGATGGGGAACCTTTTTCCTGCCAAAGGCCATTTGGATATTTATAACATCATTGCCATTGCCATACTGGTCAAACATTTAATTGATTCACCCCAATGTAATGGCTGCAACTGCACCTCTGGTGAGCCTTGCAATATTAACTGCTATTGATGATTTTGTAGACCTTATGTGGCCCTCAGGCTGGACGTGACCTTCCTTTGACCTAGATCCAAGACCTTCCCTTGATCTAGATCCAAAACATTTTCATCGCCCCCAAAGAAGACCTCATCCCATAGCCATTAAGTAGTCACTCCCCATTTCCCCTTCTCCTTAAATCCCTGGTGATCACTAATTTGCTTCTTTTTTGCATTTTTGTATAAATGAAATCCCATAATATATGACCTTTTGAGTCTGGCTTCTTTCACTTAGTCTAATATTGTCAAGGTTCATTCACATTTGATCACGCATCAGTATTTCATTCCTCTTTATGGCTGAATAACTTTTCATTACATAGATGCATCATATTTTGTTAATCATTTCATCTGTTGATGGGCAGGCATTCTGGCCCTTCACACTTTTGGCTCTTATGGATAGAACTACTATAACATTTGTGTACAAGTATTTTTTGAGTACACACTTTTAATTCTTGGGAGTATATACTGAATAATAGAATTGTTGGGTCAAATGATAGCTCTATGTTTAAGTTTTGGTTTTAAAACTTTTATTGCTGCCAATAAAATTTTGCTTTTGAATTTGGGCGTCACTTCACTTTTCATAAATGAGCCTCAACAGTGGAATAAGTAATGTGTGACTTTTCTTCATCACTTAAATACCGAGTGTTTAGAATTCTAACGGGAATGAATGTTGGGTAAAGGAAAGTCATGTGTAACCTCACAAATGCCGTGCTAATACTGAGGTTTTGTGTTTCAGGTCTGACTACAGCCACATGTCCTCTGCCAGCAGTAAGTACCTCTTAAATATTCTTCTTCATTGTCTAAAGAGTTCTCCGAGGGGTCAGTGCCTTTATTGTCCTCACTCGTCATGTGTTTTAATGGTAAGGAAGAAGCACCACAGGCGTCCTTGCCAAAGAACAGGAGAAAAATTCTTAGAGGTTTTTCTTGGAAAAGCCTTGTGTGAGACAGGGTTCTCTAGAGAAACAAAACCAGAACGCTAATAATTATATATTTATTTATACAGATAGATCGATAACCTAAGAAATAAACAGTTAACTAAATTATAAAGCAGTACGAATGGCACAGTGCAACTCACTTCCGTGAGACAGTTGTGAGACCCTGGCAGTCCTTCAAGTCTTGAGGACTGCCGGGTAGTCCTCTGTAGAGCAATTCAGGCTATCCGGGCACAGGCAGCAAACAGCAAGGCAGGTCCCCAACAGTCAGCCAGATGACAGGGTCCGACAGTCCCCAGCTCAAGAGATGTAAATTCCGATGGTGTGGGGAAGCAGGTCTTCAAGGAACCTCAAACTACAGCGACACAGCCCATGGGTTAGGTGTCCCACAGGTAGCGTAGCTTACAAATGGAGGCACAGAACAAGCAAGGCAGCCACATGCTGGTCCGATGATCAAAGAGCAAGAGAAGAAAGGCGAGGCTCCTGGAGCCATTTATCTCTCCGCCTTTCAATTAATCCCACCTGTGTTTATCGGCCAGGTTGGCACAATAAACTACCTCAAGCCTGTTCCTTCATGTCAGTAGTTGATATGGCATGGATTCCCTGTGGACATTAAGCATGAAGGAACAAGCCCGGGCTTTGTCAGCACACATACATCTAGTAGAAATACCTTCATTGAATCTTAAATCATTCCTTCAGCAACCATTTAATAAAACACCTTCTCTCTGCAAGCGTCTTAGATGGCAGTGGTAGTTGAATAGTTGCATTATTACTTTCCATTAGGGACCAGGGTTTGATTCTTGGACAGTGTATCTCACGAACACTGCATATCTGTTAATTGAGGCTTATTACTGTATATACTCGTGTACACGCCGAGTTTTTACAGCACATTTTAATGCAATTTTTATGGTAAAATCAGGTGCCTCAGCTGATATTTGGGTTGCCTTATATTCGAGGATATATGATAATTGCTATGATGCTGAACAGATTTAAACAGAGCTTCCACACTAAGATAGACTAGGAAGAAAGACTTGGCAATCTAATTCTAAATTATTAGCCAGTGAAGCCCCTATATGAACCACAACAGTTTGATCCTATTGTACATGTGGTCTCCATGAGTTACCAATCAACTTGTCAGCAGCTAACAACCACATCATGTATGCAGTCCCTGGGGAGAGGGATGCAAACAGTTAGTACTAACTCTCTGCTGACGGAACGGTTGATGGGCCAACTTTTCCGCCCAGAAGCACCTGAGAAGAAAGCCTAGCAGTCTAGTTTTGACCAACCAGCAACTGGAAACTCTGTGGAGCAGAGTTCTGCTCTGAAATGCAGGGGGTCGCCAAAGTCAGAACGGACCCAATGGCAAATGACAGCTGATTATTTCGGGCAGGCCCTCTGCTAACAGGTTCTCCTAGTACATTCATTGGCTCTAGGGCATGACCCAACTCCTCTGCTGGCAAATGCCCTCCTTTCTACTTCTGTATCTGCAGGCAAGTATTATTCCCATCCTGATGTGGAGGGAGCTTACATCTGTGACAAAATCATGCAAAGTATGCAATACCAAAGTAGGTTATAATTCGGCGATCTACATATCATTTCTTTTTTAAATGTAGCTAAAAAGAATATAGACATTTTTATCGATCCATCTTTATTTATAATTACCAGTTTATAGATATTATTCTTGAAGTAAAAATGAGTAAGAATATATTTCACTGACACCGAACAGGAGAGGTAATTATATTTAATATTAAATTACAAGTAATTTTATGTTCAGGAAATTGTGTCTGGGAGGAATTTACAGTCACTAAGAGCACTGTACAATATGACTAAAACCATTCAGAGTTATTGAACACTTTTTTTTCTTTTTTAAAGTTCTTACAGTAAAAGCCCTCGTGTTTTTAATCAATAAATAAGGAATTGTTTTTCCCTCTCTCATATCCTGATAAACTCTCAATTCTAATTAGTTCCCAAATGGAGAGATGTTTAATTAGATTATCCTCTTTATTGATGTTGAAGATTAGTTTTCTTTCGCAGTAAGACACTGTAGAAAGCTGTAGATCTGGAATTGTAATTTAGTGTCAAATTAGAGTTAGTTATTAGTTTAACTGCAATGAGAAATTTCTGATAATCTCAGCCAACTGGAGACCAAATATTGCCTCTTAGTTATTAAGAACCATTAGCAATAATGAGAATCATACTCCAGTGGCTTGAACTCATTCCCTGAAGCTTTTATAAAGCTTTTATAAAATCTTAATAAAGCTTTCTTGAACTCTCTATGCCACCATCCTCATTTCTCTCAGTTTTACCTAGAGGCTACATTTTAAAATAATGATTTTTATGAAATACTTGCCTAAAGGCTTTACTCAATTTCAGCTCTCAAATCAGTCTTTAGGTCTGAGATTTTCTCCTCTCCATATTTAATTGTGGTTTCTGAGTTGGAATGTCTCTTTGTGCATCTGGGACCAATATTTTTATGCTCTTTCTTTCACTTCAGATGGTTAGTGATTCTTGCCTCATACCTTAGTGGTGGGCTTCCTCTTGATATAGTATGTGTATGTTTTGATCGGAAATGCATTGGACAGTCATGACTGAAACCAATAGGAGTTTGGTTTTCTCTAACATAAAAAAAAAGGTCCAGAGAAGCCAGTACAGGCCTAGTGTAGGCTCCTTGAATCTTTCTGGTAGGCCATTCTCAGCTTTTGGCTTCTATCCTCAGGATTACCTCGGAGTGACAATCTGGCTGCCTCCTCTACAGCCACCTTATCCTCGTTCTGGACAGGAAGAAAACAGAGGGGAGGGCAATGACACCTGCCAGTTCTGTCATTCCTCACTTTTTAAGGAGTTTTCCTGGAAGCAGGAAATGGGATGCTACCTAAGTCACTGGAAAGACTGAGCAAGATGTCAGTCAATTCAATTGCCGTCAAGTCAATTCTGACTTGTAAATCTGCTCCAGAGTCAGCCCCTGGCCTGGTTTTAGCTGCCAATACTGACTTTATCATCTCTTCCCACAAATGTAGTCAATTTGATTTCTGTGAGAAATCCACATAATGTTGAAGAAAGGCATTTGTGGTGAAGAACTCGTTAGTCTTGCAAAATTCTGGCGTGCACTCTCCAGCTTTGTTTTAAGATGCTTGTTTCCAACTACTTTTCCTACCTGTTTGCTTCCAACGTTTACATTCTAAACCCCACAATTATCACTGCAATTTGATTGAAGGAAGGACATCAGAACAATGCCCTTGAATAAAGCAAGCCCAGAACTAAATTTAAAATAAAATTCAGGACTTGGGAGCTGGGCAGCATGCAGGACGAAGGGAAGAGCCTCTTTCTGGCTTAGCCATTGACTAACCAGTCGATTTGCCCCCAGTTTCCCATCTATAAAACCAGGCGGCAGTCTACCTCTCACCCTGGACGAAGGCGTCATGGGTGGTAAAAACTGCAGCATGGTGACGTGTCTGGCTCACTCTCTGTAGTCTTTCTTCCTTAGCCCTGTCCTCGTTTCAGAATGAGTTCCAGAGCACATCTCAGTCATACGGATTCCGAACAGTGTTCTGAAAATCTGAGATAATAGTAAAATAACTACAATTATAATAAAACTGTGCTTCTTAGAAAGGCTGGGAGGCCCACAGGACCCAAATGATTTCTTACCGTTTTCTTTACACAAAATAAAAGTGCAGGTTTCTAACCTCATAGAAATAGCAGGAACGTTCTGTGAATTCAGGTAGCAGGAGGGGAACTCTTCTACATCGTATTGAGCCGAGTCTGTGCACATACATAGTCACAATCCTAGGAATCACCTCACTGTCACAAGAATCCCACTATTTCCAACCCCACTCCTGATGTCTGCTTCAGTTGGGGCTGGCACTGGGACTAACCCTGTCACTTTACAGCCCAAATTTACAGACCAACCAAAGGCTTTGTCAAAATTATAAAATTACTAGTAATTAAGAAATTTGAGATTGTTGTCGCTTAAGTTTTGGTAGGGATATGGGAACTGCTTACAGTTTTTTCTTTAATTCAGAGGTTTCAGAAGTGGTCTTTGAAAACTGGAAAAGGAGATTAAGGCAGGTTATTCATTGCATTCCAGATGAATAGTCACTCCCAAGCAGGAATTTGGAAGCTCTTTTGAAAACAGTTACTTCAAGCATTCTGGGAACCATCATGAGGAGTGGGGGAGGGGGGGAGGGGGAGCAGGCTCTCTGCATCTCTCCACAGCACCCTGAACTTGCGGCTAAGAGCCTCTTCTGCCCCTGCTTTCTGCCCTGATCTGTATTCACCATGTCAAAACCAGGAAGTAAGTTGAAGGGATTTTGAATATGTAATGTATTTCAAGGAATGCTCATAAATACGCATTAGGGCAGGAGTATGATTTTTGACCAGAAAATAGCTTGTCAGACCTCTGGATTTTAAATGTTGTCTGACTTGGTCTGGTGATGTCTTTGTGACAACTTTTAAAATTTAAAAATTTTGTTATGACAGCATGACTCTTTAACACCTTAAGGAGGTGTGACAACTTTTTGTTCCTCTGACCAAAGCTCTTGCATTTTGGAGTCACCTGTAGGTTGTGACTGACCTTTCTGCACATGTTCAGGGGCACAGATCTATTTATAACTGAAAATTGCTTGCTTTGGTTGGGTAATTTCCCAGTAGGAACGCGTTCAAGAGATCAGCTATCAGGAAGAAAAGTATAGGTTAATTATGGGCAATATGTGAGATATGTATATATTTAACATCCTATGACAACATAAGTTATATGTTTATTGGGCAAGCTGTGGAAGTTACGTGTTACTCAGGGTGAAGGCTAGGGGACAGACATGATCCCCTTTGTAATGAGGGGTC